GTCCTCGGAGGACGCGCATCGTCCACGCGCAGAGGGGGGCAGGGGGATGATAGGCTTGTTTTCCACTACCACCACCATAAGTTGGAGGGGGAGGGGGTCCTCCTCCTCCTCCTCCTCCTCCTCCTCCTCCTCCCCTTTCTCCTCCTCCTCCTCCTCCTCCTCCTCCTCCTCCTTCCCCCCTCCAACTTATGATGGTGGTGGTGGAAGACAGGCCCATCAGGGGGAGGGGCGAAGGCTTCTTGGAAGCACCTCTCCGCCTCTCGAGAGGCGCGGGCCCTGTCTGAAGATGTAGGGCCGCGGCGCCTTCGAAGAAGCAGTCTCCTCATAAGAAGCCTCCCCCCCTCCCCCATGCCCCCTACACCTTAGGCGATGTTTAAGAAAACCCAAGTTTTCGTCCAAAGTCTCGATTATTCTTAACTTTTCAATGTAAATCCCAAGATTTGTTGATAGAAGTTCTGGGTTTTATTCAATTTCTGAGACTATGAATTTCTGAACCCATGATTTCTTAAGCATTTCGCAGGGTGTAGTGCGCGCCGCCAAGCGTCATGGGGGGCCATACAAGTGTGCATCGTTTCCGCAAGTAGGCATGCGCATGACTGGTGTAGTGGATGGGGATGGTGCTGGTGTGCTTCTGCTGCATATCCGTAGCGTTTGGAGCTCTAGCTGAGCAGATCGTAAAGCAGGTGGTGAGCACGCAACCGGTCGCGGGCCTCGAAGGAAAATAATCACGCTGTGACCCTTCTCGCTCATTTCTTTGGGGCTGCCGGAAAGGAGCCAAGCAGCCCTTTCGGGCCCAGAAGGGGGCCTTGCACCTTTCTTCTCCCCCCCACACACTCATCGCCCTCCATTAATTCGCGCCCGAGATCCAATCCGATCCCGATCGGTAAGATCGGAATGGGTACGAAGACCGACCGCACTTCATGCGCCTTCTGAGCGGGGCTCGCTGCCAGTGCCGCCGCGGACTTTGTGTCCATTCGAGACAGGGGGCCGCCTGCCCAGCAGCGGCCGCTGTCGGCTTTGGACAGCGCTTGGTGTTGGGCACCCTGCACATGTTCCTCCTCCCTTTCCTCCTCCTCCTCCTCCTCCTCCTCCTCCTCCTTTCCATGTCCTCCTCCTCCTCCTCCTCCTCCTGCTCCTCCTGCTCCTCCTCCTCCTCCTCCTCCTCCTCCTGCTCCTCGTCCTCGTCCTCGTCCTCGTCCTCGTCTTCCGTATGGATTCCGGGCATCCAAAGCCCGCGGGGCTGCTCACGGCCCGATCCGATCCGAGCCCTGAAGCGCTGGAGCCCCCGGCGCCTCCAGCGCCGCCCTTGGCGCGTTCCGCGCGCCAGGGAGGGGGCTCCGGCGCCGATCCAAGAAGTCCGCGCGGACCTCCGAGAGCTGCTGTTTTATCATATTGGTGTTTGCTCCTCGATGGGGTTCGGTTCCGAGCCAGATGCGATCCGGCGCGACGCGGGCGGAGGCTCTCGCCGGTTCGTCAGGGGCCGGGCCCCATCCGCGACCCCCAGTGGACCTGATCCCGATCCGAGTCTGCGCCGACTCACGACCCGACTTCGCGATTCGATCCAGCTGAGGCCTGCCTCCCGAGTGAGCGACGCAACAAGAAAAACCGGGATCGTCTGCGCCGACATGGGCGCGTAGGCTGCCCGCGTAAGGTCGCGCGTAAGCGCCCTCGTCTCAACGTGGCGTGCCGCGCCGGCGGTCCGCGTAAGCCGCGGCGTCGGGTCGCTGTGTCATCTAGCGTAAGATCCTTCTTTGATCGTCGCTCAAATGGGGCATAGGTAAATGACGGCTCCAATGCAGTCACAGGGGCTCGTCTGGGGTGTTTCTCCTCCTCCCCGCGTCCTCTCCCTCCTTCTCTCCATGTTCCTTCTCCTCTCCTCCTCCTACGCCTCCTCCTCCCCCTCCTCCTCCTCCTCCTCCTCCTCCGCCTCCTCCTCCCCCTCCTCCTCCTCCTCCTCCTCCTCCTCCTCCTCCTCCTCCTCCTCCTCCTCCTCATCCCCCCTCCCCCAGTGAGATCCGGAACCAGATTTTCTCTATTCCGACGTCGCAGATGCATCGCCAGTGCGTCGGCGATGAGCTACGATCCTCCGACCCCATCTCCAATTCTGTCTGTTAGCCCCTAACCCCCAGGGGAGGAGGAGGGAGGAGGGAGGAAGACGGAGGAGGGGAGGAGGAAGGGAGGGAGGAGGGAGGGAGGAGGGAGGAGGAGAAAACTCCACTTGCGAGGCCTCCACATAGGGTCCAGGCCCCCTGCGGCGTTCCTTCGTTGAGGGGCCCAGGCCGCCAGCGACCCCATCCGTGTCCAGAGCAGTTACGCGCCAGCGCTGGCATGCCACTTCTGTCGCTGCTCTGCACTGAGGGGCCTGCAGCCTGGTCAGCACATCCGCTGGCGGGGCCGATCGCTTCCGACCAGACGTCCAGCAACCTAGGAATCATCCGACGGCCGGCTTGTAGCAGTGTGGTCCTCCAGAGGCTGGCTTCGGGTCGGGTTCCAGGATGGTTACGCTGTCGGCTCGGGATGCCAACTGGGCCTTGGGGAGATGTCGAGAGGTCCGGAACTCCATATTCAAGCAGTGGCGAAGCGTCCTGGTTCGCCTAAAGACCTACCAAACAATGTTCTAAGAACCTTTTGTGGTTTCCACGAAATGTTCTTAGAACATTTCTGGCTGGGACTGTTTTGTTTTAGCACGCCGGGTTTATGTTCTAAGAACACTGCTTCGTTCTTAGAATATTTTTGGGTTCTAAGAAGATTTCGTGGTAGGCCTACAGGAATGCCGGGACGGTCGGTCCTTACTCAACATGTGTCGAGAGAAGCGGGTTGCTGGTGCGCGGCCCAAGATCGTGACAGAAACTTGCAGTCGGTTCGCATCCATTCTGGTTCAAGCTACTTTGGTCCAGCTCTGTCGGGCTCATCGTGCTTTGTGGTTGTCATTCGAGCAGATGCTTGACCTCATGCCCCTCGCAGCTGTCCAGATTTCGTGGTTGCTATGCGGTGTTCCAGGCGAGCGAAAAACCGCCGCGAGGCGCCTTGTGCAAAGCCTGGAACCGAAAGTCCAGACTGGTGTTGGCGTGCGGTGTGGTGCTTCATTCACCCGATCGAACGGAGGCAGAGTTTGTCTGCCGTGTCCAGGAGGTGGCAATACGGAGTCTTCGGAGACCCGTCACTTTGGAGGTTCGTCTTGGTCTCGAACTCCCCGGTAACAGTCGACCTGATCCGGGAGGCTGCACGCACAGACGTGCATCGTGGCGCAGAGCTCTTCTCTGGCACGAGGGCCGCACTGAGCTACCTGGGAGAAGGTGCTCTGCCACTTCGCTTCTCGGAGCTTGCTCGGATTCCTGACTTGCGCTATGTGGAAACATTAGTCGTTGAGGATCCAGGCCTCCCAAATGGGGTCCGAGCTGATGGGGCCAAATGATCGCGCCGCATCGCGGATGCATCGTCGAGGCGGCGAGATCTTCGAGCCCCGTCTGCTCCGGCCCTATTTGAGAGGCCCCCAGAGGAACCTGCAGACCCAGAGTACAATCTACTTACCAGGACGCTCTCGTGGCGCGATCCACGCGTCATGCAGCATCGTGATTTTCTCTGGCTGTCGTCGCGAATGCTTTTTCTGGTTCAGTTCTCGTGCCTGAGAGCACTTCGACTACCAGTGTCGATGGTTGAATACGAAGGACCGTTGGCCCAGAGTCGTCGTCAGATTGTGTTCGAGTGGTTGAGAAGCATGCCAAAGACTCTACAGTACCTGAAGCTAGACAGTGGGTCGTTCTTTCTGGAGAGGTTCTACGGGTGGCTCCCTTGTCGTGTCCCTGAGTGGTTGCCGAATCTGCGCGGCTTGGATCACTTTAGCCAGCGTTGCATCAATCAGGAAGCAGTCCATTTGTGGCCATTGTCAACGCGGGAACAAATCGATGTCTTGGACGGCAACGAGCAGAGTTCATCTGTGCCTGTCCTGTTGAGATGGTTCGGCTTGTTCCCACGATTGAAGCGACTTCGGTGGTATGGTTTGAATGTGCCTGCTAACGACCTTACACGTCTGTGCACTCAGCTTCCGCGCACTGTGTCAGTCATGCATCTCTGGTTCGAGCACACCACGCCATATGTGTACCCCACGCTTGAGGAGTGGAGCTGCTTTGGTGTCCTTCGACAGCAGCTGCGTGAGTTATTCATCAGCTTTGATAGTCCCAGCCCTCGTTGCTTCACAGAGGGGACGTCGCCTCAGACATTGTCTGCGCACTTGGCTGCAATTCTGCCAGAAACTGTTGTTCTGGCAACAGATTTAAGTTACCCTTTTCATGTGGAAGAGGGTGGGCGTGTTGTTGGATACCCGGACCCAATGGACCACGTATTCTTGCCGCGCCTTCTTGAGCCGTGGCACATGCATCCAGATTGCAGTGGCCGTTTGGTGAAAGTGAAAATGAATTGCGTATCATTCCCCGGCTGATGCTTGCACTCGGGCGTTTGTGGTGTCATAGTCAGCCCGCATAGTAAGGATGGGCAACCCTCCGAAGGTACCTTTGCATCCTTGCCTCCTCGATCCATCCTTGGCCACTTTCGTTGGCCGCGCCCCGCTCGAAAAGCGCCGAAATGGGCGCCCAAGGCCCTTGCGCCCTTGTCGCGCATCCCTGTGATGCGGGCCGACGATGCCGAGTCTTCGGCACGTGCTTTTGCGGGTGTTCGCCCAGGCGCCCGCCCGTGGGCGAGTCGTCGGTGCTCCTTGCACTGGCTGGCTTCGTGGTCAAGCGGTTCGGCTGCAATGTAGCCATGCGGATCTGAGCTTACCATTTCTTGCCATTTTGGCGGGGGCTCGCAGGAGCGTTTGTGTTGTGATCAACTGTGCTCGATATATCCAGCGGCAGCCTTTCATCCCAAGATGTTGTTTTGAAAAAGTCAGCAGGGGCCAAATTGGTGATGTGAAGCGACATAGGTCTCGTATCTCGGCCGGCCTTCCCCCCCCCCCCTGTGGGCGCGCCTCGTGGCGCTGGCCGTGGCGCTGCCGGATGGGGTGTCCCGGGGTCCGCCCGTGGGCGCCCAAGTGCGCTGGACGCTGGAGAAGTAGGGGGGCCTCCGTAGAAAGGGAAAGCTGCCAGACATTCAGGATTCATCAGCACCATCAGTATCATGGTCAGCATCAGTATCATCCTCATCATCATCCATCATCATCCTCATCAGCATCATCCTGCGCGCGGTTGTCATCATTAGTATCATCATCCTCATCAGCATCATCCTCATCATCCTCATGCTGCGCGCGCACCTCCCCCCATTATCCTCATCAGCACCATCAGTATCAGAGTCTTCAAGGGCTGGAAGGCGTCAGTCGTCGCGGCAATCGTCGTGATTGTCGTTGCCGACGCCTGCGTCGTCGTTGCCACCATCCTCATCCTCATCATCGTTCTCATCTTCGTCATCATCAGCATCAGCATCAGCATAATCATCATCAGCACCGTCATCATCACCGTCGTCGCCGATGTTGTCTTCACCGCCATCACTCGCCCGCCCGAGCCAACGATCTGCATGATCAGGGACCGCGGGTCATTGCCCCTGGTAAGATGCGTGAGCAAGTTCCGCCGAACACTTTCACTCACGCCCGTTTGGCTGCTGCCACAAAGTTGGTGGGTCGGTCGGCGGGATGGTTGCTCAAGCTGGGCCGGCGTTCCCGCGCGGATGCTGGCCAGTTGATCCTCCTTCCTCAAAGAAGGGCCGACTCTACCACCTTCTCTTCCCCCTCGGCTTATGTTTCGTACCTTCTGGGACTCTGCTAAGGACATCTGGTTCTGCCTCTTCGTTCACTTCTCAGTTTTGAGTTTGCGCCATTCCTGGCAGGCCGGGCATCGCCCCTCCCCCTCCTCCTCCCCCTTTTTCATCCCTGTCAGCAAGAGCACTCCGCGCTCGCATTCGTTTATTGCAAAAAGGATGCGCTTCCCATAGCCCCCGGCAGAACATCGTTTTATTTTCCGTCGGCGGCGAGGCAGGAGAGCTGCACCAGGGATGAGCGGTCGGGGCGACCGAGACGCGAACTGGCCGGCATGCAAGAGAGGGGGGAATCCCTAGCAAAGCATGGCGCAACGTCCACACGCGCGCGTGCATGTCGAGATCATACACACACACGCACCAGTGTTGTCAGGAGCTTAGCACCCGAGCATCAACGGCTCTTTTTGGCGATTCGCCCCACTCCTGGAGACCTTCCAGCCCACACGCATGCTCTTAGACTGGCGGGGAAACCTTCTGATTTCAGCCATGCCGCCCAGACTCCGCATTCTCACCTCACCACGCGGTGCATCTGCGCTGATGCAGCATGGGCCCAGTGCACGAAGCCGTGCAAAATAACACCATGCGAGCCATGCGCGCGCCGCCACGCGAGCGGGCCGAGCTCTTCACAAACGCCAATCGCCCCACTTGCCGCCATCATTGTTCCATCAACTGCATCATCGACACATGGACATCATCATCATCATCATCATCATCGGCGTTACCAGCATCGGCGCCATCATTGGCCTTGCCGTCGTCATCTTCATCACCATCATCATCATCATCATCATCATCATCATCATCATCATCATCATCATCATCATCATCATCGTCATCGTCATCGTCATCGTCATCGTCACCATCATCGCTACTATTATCATCGTTGCCGTCGTTGTCGACGTCGTCTTGATAATTGCCGCGCCCGCCCGAGCCATGGACCCGCATTGAAGTGCCTGCGCGCCAGCGCGACCTCTGACACGCGCTGGGACGCTGCCATCGGTAAGCGCCGTCGAGGCCGCATCGGTTGTGCCAAACCAGCCGGCCGCTCTGCGCGCGAGCTTGCACGCACCAGCGTTGCTGCACGGATGCGCAAGCCATGGCCAAGCACGCATCACAATCGCCGCCGCATGGGTTTTGCAAGCCCAGTTGCTGGTTGGAGGGGGGGGACGATTGCGCGAACAGTGAAATTGACAACCCATGAGGTGCCGAAACGTAATTGGCCCACATAGCTTGCACCACAAACTTTGGACCACATAGCTTACATAACGTCCATCCGATTTGAACTACACAGCGTCGCGTATAGTACAAGACATACATTGTTCCACGCAGCATGCAGGTAGGATCGCGTATGTTGCATCATACACATACGCAAGTTGACACCCCAACCCGCAATCGTTGGGTAACGCGTTCGTTGCTCTGTTGTTTCTTGTGAGGCAGTATCCTTCCGCGATGGAGGAATGAAGCCCATATACACATATACATATATATGTATATACATTTATATATATATATATATGTGTGTAGATCTCTGCGTGTATATATATATATATATATATATGTATATATATATCGATGTATGCATTCACGTATTTGCTAAATGTTGCACCGCAACCAGATTGTCCACACATGGTGAACGTCGGCAGTGCGATGGACCATGGTTTGGGGTGCGCGCTGGCAAGCACAAAGCATATATGTAAGCAGCTGTGTGCTACAGGAGCCGTCAGGCAGCCACAGCCGTGTGCTATCAGGAAGCGGGATTGGCTGGCGCTGGTGATGAGCCAACGAACGTTTCGACATGCCATTGCAGGGAGCCGGTCGAGGCGGGTCCCGTCGTGCCACCCCGTAGCTAGGGGCCTGTCGGGTCACTGGTGGCGAGCGCACAAGGGTCGGGGAGAGGGGGCGGGACGAGGGGGCTGGCGAGGGTGTGCGAGCCAGGAGCTCCCGCCACGGCAGGGCCAGGAGCCAGTCGGAGCCAGTCCGCGCACTCGTGGCGGCGGCGCGCAGAAGCCTGTCCGCAGACATCCCCCAGCGCTTCTCCTCCTCCTCCTCCTCCTCCTCCTCCTCCTCCTCCTCCTCTTTCTCCTCCTTCCCTCCTCCTCCTCCTCCTCCTTCCCTCCTCCTCCTCCTCCTCCTCCTCCTCCTCCTCCTCCTCCTCCTCCCCCTCCTCCTCCTCTGCGGACCAGTCTTGTCACCACCGGCCTCGCGCCCCACGGCCCCAAGCCGCGCAGCGGGCCCCCGCGAGGCCGAGAGCGGCGACGGGCTTCCAAATCGGGCCTCGGGTCCCTCGCGCCTCGAGCGGCGCCTCGGGCGCCAACCCAGCCGAGCCGAAGCCACACCACGGCCAGCGGCGGCCGTGGGGGGGCGCGCCGGGGCTCAAGAGACGGGGGTCCATGCTCGACTAGACGTAAGAGTGACCTTTCGCCGGAGTGACCTTTGGTGCGGGCACAGATGGGCCCCCAGATGGCCAAACGCGAAGCGGTAGCAGCGGCTAGCGCGCCTGGATTTGGCCTCCCCGCGGCCCCCCCAAAGCCGCGCACCAAAGGTCACTCTTACCCAGGGTCACTCTTACGTGTAGCCGACATGCAAACGGGGGTCAGTCAGGGCGGCGAATTCTGCAGGATCCTGCAGAGCCAGGGGTGCATTGGCTCGGGCTCGGGTGCGGGATCCTGCAGGGCCCGACTGACCCGGGTCTGGGTTTGACCCGGGTCAGTAGATCCCTGAGCGAGGGGGCGGGGGCTTTCTGAGAGGGCAGCGGGCCGCCTGGAAGCCCCCCCGCTTTCTCGGAGGCCTCCGCGCCATTCGAAGAGGCCCCCCTTCGTCTTCTAGGAAGGCATCACCCCGCGCTCGCCCCACCGCTGGGGTCCAGGCCCATAGTCGATTCGATCAGTCTGATTCTGTGCCAGATTCACCAGGATCGATCCGATTCCAGGCGCTCCGATGCGGTCCGATTCCCGCACAGCGTAGTACGATGTGTACCCGGGCGCAGCCGATCCCATTCTGTGCCGGTTCCGTGCCGATGCGGCCCGATCGATCCGACGCTTTTTCCGATTCGATCCGATGTAAATGGACAAGTCCAAGCTCGCGCAGCAGAAGCAGAAGCGCCACAAAAGTTGGGTCGGGGTTGCACCCGAGCCAATCCAGCTCCAGCTCAGATCCCGTCCGCAGCCATGTCGGATCACGTCCAGCCATTGAGTCACAGGAGGAAGGGGTACGGATACCACTACCCTTGCATCGTTTTCCCTTTTTTCTTGGCCCACTGAGAGGCCCTTGTCGCCACGTCTGGGTTCGCCTCGAAGTGATAGTCAGAATGCAACCTGGGAGAGGTCTGGGGAGTAGCGGTATCGGTACCTTCTGGTTTCGCAATTTGGGCGCAACATTTTTTTATTTGATCTATTCGTTTTCATCGGGAGCCATGGCCGGCGTCTCATTTGCTCGTCTCAACGTATTTTCAGCTCTCGACTGTTCAGGCAGATGCCAGTCTCCACCTGACGTCAGGCCAAACGCCAGAAGATGATCTGGATGACCTCTACCTGTGTAATCAAATGCAGTTTGAAGCCGGGTTCGGTGATATAAGCAGCACGTATAAGACTGGTGCGCATCCCGAGCCCCGCGACATCAGCTTTGTGTACATGCAGCCGCCTCACCATGCCACAGTTATTGTACTCGAAGGCTTAGCACAAGGCGTTTGACACAGCTCACTTCCAAACTGTGACAAATGACATTCGCACGAAAATCTCATCGAGACGATTGCAACCGTGGGAGGTTGACATGAATTCTTCACGTTTCGTGTATCCTCACCTGCGTTAATTAGCCACTCGCGCGGCCCGCCCGGACTTTGACTCGCCGCTGTTGCGTTCTCGCCTGCGGCTGCCGACAAAAAGTATCCTCACCTGCTCATTCGGAAATTTTTCCCGTGAGAGTTGACGGGAAAAGAGACGAAGAGACACATGTAGTGAAACACAGCGGGCAAACAGGGTGAACACGGAGATCTCTGGGAGCAAGGGGGTGGCTTTGGAGGGCATCTTCGGGCCATCCCTGGGGCCCGCGTGGGGGCGAGGGAAGGAAGAGGAGGAGGAGGAGGAGGAGGAGGAGGAGGAGGAGGAGGAAGAGGAGGATAGGAGACGACGATCTGTGGGAGGTAGGAGGAAAAACGACAACGACTGACGACCACGACGACGAGAGGAGGAGGAGGAAGAAAAGGAGAGGAAGACGATGAAGGCAAGGACAGGACGAGGGGGAGGAGGAGGAGGGGGAGGGGGAGGGGGAGGAGGGGGGGAGGAGGAGGAGTGGAGGAGGAGGAGGAGGAGGAGGAGGAGGAGGAAGAGGAGGAGGGAGGAGGGAGTAGGGAGGAGGAGAGGCGGGAGGAGGGAGGAGGATAGGAGAGGAGGAGGAGGAGGAGGAGGAGGAGGAGGAGGAGAATGAGGTGGGGGAGGAGGAGGAGGGGGGGAGGAGGAGGAGGAGGAGGAGGAGGAGGAGGAGGAGGAGGAGGAGGAGGAGGAGGAGGAGGAGGCGGAGGAGGAAGGGGAAAAGACAACGAGGACGAGGACAGAGTCCTCAACATCGCCTCTTGCAGCTCCCTTTGGACTCTTTTTGATAATAGATCGTGGGGTCCTCTTAGAGCTCGTTTGGGGGGTCTTTGGGCCCGCCTGGGGGGCCTCTTGGAGCCCTTTGGGGGTCCGTTGGGAGCAATGGACGGCCTCTTGAGGCCATTTTGGAGGCCATCGATCACAAGAGGGCGGCTCTCGATTTGCCCTGCCCCTCTGGGACCAGAAGCATCGCCTCTTGGGGCTTGCTTGTCCGCTCTTGGGGCCGTCTGGGGAACCTCTTGGGCCCCTCGTGTGCCTTTCCTGGGCCTCTATTGGGCCATTTCGGGGCCATCTTGACGCCTCAAGCACATCGGAAGCGAAACGGCGAGACGTCACAGATCATTGGTTGCCCGTATGTGTTTCAAGGATGTTGACCTCCTGAAAGGTGAGGTTCTGAGGGGGCCCCGAGGACACTTGAAGCCGTCTTGTGGCCCTCGCCGGGCCTCTAGGAGGTATGCGATAAGCTATTGTGAACCGTCTTCGGCAATCTTGAGCCGCCTTGGAGGCCATCATGGAGCATTGGAGGCCTTCTTGGAGCCACCTTGGGCCATCTTGGACGCTCTCACTCCTC